TATAAGAATTATCTGTAACAATATTTGTGCTTCCAATTTGTCTATCAATTTAAGTAAAGAATACACAAATGTGATTTAACCTCTGTTATAGGGAATTCTTGCACCACAAAACCGATTATTTTAGTTTTAAAAAGCTGTTGGTTCAACTATACTACAGAAGTCTACATATATAAAAAGTAAATATAATATATCAATACAAATGACAGTAAGTTTTAAAAGGGAACTTGAGCTATTTTAAAGGNACGATGTAAAAATTAGAATAGACCACACCCAGGGTAGACCACACCCCAAGTCACAATTGAATTCCGAAGAACCTTTGCAAATTCCTATAATGATAGGTTTATTAATCCCCGACGTATCAAGTTCCTAACTATGATGGTTTAGGAAGTAACAATGTGAAATAGATTATGTATGTATATAATGAATTGTCCACCACAGGGAAAGCTTGACCAATGTAAGCGTACCTAGCCGAGACAACCCCGTGCCCATTCCAATTCTACCTCTATAGAACTTCACACTAGCTATTTATTGACTAAGAAAACATTCTGGTTGCAAAATGCGTTCCGGTTGAAAATTTCGTTTTCACGATTTTCTTTGGTTGCAGAATGCGTTGCAGTTGCAAAATGCGGCTCTACACCAGTTTTATGAAGCCCCAGTATTTCATTCTCCCCAACATCTATCTGGACAGCTGACCGTTTGAAATCATTCAGATTTCAGACTTTCCGACCTAAGCGTTTTCATTAAAGGGTCTCTTTCCGCTGTAGACGCTTAAATAGGCCTTTCTCTGAAACTTTGCCTATTTGATCCTGAACCCCAAAACATGTCTCACACAAAACCGTTGAGAAAATAAAGGTCGAGGTATAGGTTTTTAAGATCACTCAAAGAAAAAAAAAGCGCAGCATTTTTTTTTCGTCTAGACTTCTCGTCATTACTCCCCTACGCGTGGAATTCTGGGACTTGCCTCAATTTGCATATGACTGAATACTACTGTTTACTACGCTCTGGAGAAGACCCGGATGTCACTGCAAACTAAGATGGAGGGTAGTCCGAGCACACGTGAGTTGAAAGAAAGAGGAATAACTCTACGGGACAATGAAAAAGGAAATAAAACGGGAAATGCAGAAGCAGAGGATGTTATTTTCATTAGCAGGGCGGTGAGGTAGACAAAGCAGAAGTAGGAAATAAAACTGACAAGCGAGAAACGGACAAAAATTCTGCCAGATACGGGTAGGTTATTTCGATCGCTTATCACGTCCGAATCTTTCATTAAGAACATATTCAGGAGGCGGATTTAGGGAATCTTCAGGCCCCGTATGCACAAAAAATCCTTATCTTAAGTGAAAAATTCTCCTTAACTTCATAAGAAAATTCTTAGCTGAGGAAACCCCTTAAGTGGTATGCACAAAGTACCTTAAGAATTCCCTAAGCCAAGAATTTTCTCAAATAATAGGAATTTACTCAACTCTGTAGGATTTCTCTTATGTGTTGAGCTATGTTTAGCCTGTGCATTGACCAATAGAATTACCTGTTACAATAGCTCACACTGGGGAATTCCTGGGGAATCCATGTTTGAAGGAATCCTTTACTTGGATATGATAGGCCTATCAGTTATTATTAGAAGAGTTGAGATATCAATCGTGTAGGCCAAGAAGTTGTAACTTCTTGTGTAGGCCTAGTATTCTTCATACTCTGACAGAAAAAGAGGCATGTCATCCAATCCCCAGACCCAACACTAATAATAATAATCCAGTGACATAATTACATTTTAATAAAAATGTTTTATCTCTATTGGCTGATACATGTGCACCCATCTCCCCTATCGGCGATAATTCTGTAAAAAGGCCCCATAAAAAATATTAGTTTACCATCATTGTCACCTACAAGAAGTGATTCAGTAGGGCGTGTTTTTTGCTCATACAAAAACATTGAATTTAACCAACGATGCCCTCCGGACCGTCATTAAATACACTAAAACATGGAACGTGCCATGAGCAAAGCTAGTAGTAACATAAATTGCAGTGAGAGGCACTCCTAGTACAGGGATAGTCTGTTTTTGTGTAGGCTATGAGGTGCATATTTGATGGGGAAAATTTACATTATAATTTTTTTATGTGAGCAGAAAAAGTAATGCGGCCGGGGATGATAAAGTAACATTTTTTCATGGGCCCTGAAAAAGAAATAAGCCCAGCATGTACTTATTTCATGACTATGGCCATTTACATGTCATCGACTTACATATTTTAAGTGTTATCTGTGATGAAAAATTGTGACATGTAATTCATAATATTAATATTAATTTTAATTATTAATTTCACTATTGACCCCACGTATGCACATATTAAATACCTATGTTAATTGTATAAGCATTATAATTGATGCATGAGATTCCGTGTTATCAGGTGGTTTTCGGGGATTTCATAAGCAACATGTCATAAAAAGTGCCCACTCAAAATTTTTCACTTTAGATATCCCTTAACAGAACGACAAATTACAAATGTAACTGCCAGAAGATCCGTAATGAAAAGTATCCCCGCTCTATCAAAACGAAATCGCTGGTAAATCTCATAATCTGGGTAAAAATCCAAAGGACTTTCGCGGTCCCGAAATATTCTTGGTCTTGCGACTGCCCTTTCCAGTTCATCCACTTTTTCACGATAAACAGCAATAACCCAGCAGGCATAGTTGCGTTGGATCAACGTTGAAAACAGGTTGATACATTGAATTGCCGTTGATCTACCTAAATTCAACGTAAAATCAACGTTGATCCAGCCACGTCGAAACACCGTCATAATGTGACGATGACTCAACGTTGTATTTTGGTCATTGACACAACCTTGCAGACATGGATTATATTTTAAAATATTAATTGTTGAAAATGTGATACTTTGTTTATTTATACTGTAACTAAGTTTATCAAAATAATCAAAAAAGTGTTAAAAGTAAAAGTGACAGTTGTTTTGTGTCTTTAGTGAACTAGTGAATTTTCTTATTTTGTTATTCAGAAATACATTCCAATAAACTGAATTCCTTGCAAGGTCAGCTAACACTAGGATGAATAAGTTGCTGTAAATGTGATGGAGTGAATTAATAATGTTAACAGTTCTTGGTAACCTGTTATAGCCTACATAGACAGGTTGAGGTGACTGTGACTTTGTTATATATATATATGTTTACTATTATAGTGTTATCTGTGAAGAAAAATTGTGGCATGTAATTCATATTTATTAATTTCACTATTGACCCCACGTATGCACATATTAAATACCTATGTTAATTGTATAAGCATTGATGTGTGAGATTCCGTGTTATAGGTGGTTTTCGGGGATTTCATAAGCAACATGTCATAAAAAGTGCCCACTCAGAATTTTTCACTTTAGATATCCCTTAACAGAACGACAAATTACAAATGTAACTGCCAGAAGATCCGTAATGAAAAGTATCCCCTCTCTATCAAAACAAAAGCGCTGGTAAATCTCATGATCTGGGTAAAAATCCAATAATAAGAGCCATAGAGAAATAATGTTGCTGCACAGCTTTGACTAGCACAAATAAATGCCATTGTGTTGTACAGTCACTGAATCTAAGGACAAAATTTCCACTTAAGAGACCCAATGAGGTACCTTAAAGTTAAGGAGATATTTGGGGGAATTCTCATCTTAAGATGCTTTGTGCATACCACTTATGTTAAGGATGATCACTTAAGGAAATTCTTAGGGAAATTCTTAAAAAAATACACTTAAGATGTTTTGTGCATACGGGGCCTGGTTCTTCCTGAAGACGGTTAGATTTTTAAGTTTTCATTGACGGGTATATGTAATATTTCTGTCGAAAGGCGGTCAAAAATGGAGGGTTGATCAACATAACTCGGAAGACTGTCAGAATATATCTCTGGATCCGCCCCTGTTATCCCTGCTGTACGCAGAAAAGTTTATTATTCTGGAGAGCAGTCAGTACTAACAATAATTGAGCTAAATAGTCTTCTATTAAAGGCTGGTTTTTGTCGGCTTACTTAAAGTCGTTATATACTCAAGTGCAAAAAAGAAAAAAAAAAACCTTTCACTATTTATCTTATACGAATTTCATTTAAATTAAAAGATATAAAGCATCTGATGGTAGTAAATGTTTATTCTCTGTTTACGTTTTTAAAAGTTGACTTCATGGGGAATCTCTGGAGAATGAGGATAATACACTGATATATTTTTTAATCCAGGTAATATGCATGGGGTAACATCTACCCCTACATCAGGTTCAAGGCCACAGTCTTGTTTTAACCGTGCAACATAGAGCCAGAGCCAAAGTAAGTACCTGACACCCAGAATCCAAACACACATTAGCTGTTCATTTTACCATGTTCAGTACACCTTGCCATTAATACAAATCTAATGCATGTTAGTACTTGGAACAATGCCATTTTATTATAAAGTTTAATACTTCCATGGCAGTTTCGTCCCAGAATTGTGACAAGCACAGGATATCAGTGCTTATTGTGGGGAACATTATATAATAAATTGGATTTTGAAACAAATAATTTTGAAAATCATGCTCTATTCAGTGCGCTTATGTCTGTGTGTAGACATTACAGATAGTGTGTGCTATTAATTTCACAAAAATGCATTGAAGTCTTTCCAATAGTCAATGTTTTGTTTTTATGTATACTAAGCAGCAAAGCAAGCACTCAAAATCATGGATGACAGTAAGACCTCAAGCTGTTACATAAACAATTAGCAAATAAATGTACATTCCAGTCTTACAAACCAAGAATTTGACATGGGAATTACAAGTAGACATTTCTTAGCAGCCATGGTGCGGATGGAATCAAGAGACTCAAGGCACCGTGGTCCTTATATGTATATAAGAATTTTTTTATCAAAATGATGATTACTTCACATTAACTGTTTTTAAAATGATTGGTTTTATGAACAGATTGTGTACAGAGTTGCATTTTACTTTTGATATGAGAAAGGGATAAAGGAAAGCACCTTATTTTTCTATGCCTTTAATTTTTATGTTCACTGAATTGCTGCACAAATTACAGTAGAATGAAAAGAATCCTTCTACTCAGTGACTTGCATATTACAGGTCTTATGAATGTTTGGTCAGTAAACTGATACTCGTGATACTTTTGTTTTATATCTGTCATTTCTGTTTTGATATGTACAATAGCTTACTGCAAAAATAAAATATTTGAAAATCTATGAACCCTAAAATAACCATAAGGACTGGATTTCACACCATCAAATTTAAATAATAATAATAATAATAATAATAATAAATTGAATAAATTTACTTTGGAAATAAAAAGGAATATGAATGGTGTTTGTGTATTGTGAGAAACCTAGAATTTATCTATAGCACGCAAGGACTATATAGGTGTATTAAAAGTCAAAGAAAAGGCATGTGTTTTTCACTGGATCTTGGTTTATTCACATGGATTCACAAGACACGTAAAAACTAAAAAAGAAGAAAAGAAAAAGAAAATTACAACAATGTACTTACTAACGGTTATTTACGTGTTCAAATTCACTTACTCAAAAAACTTATAAATTTTAATAATTACCAATAATAAATAACCAATCATCAATAATCAATAATAATCAATAAACAGTATTAAAACTCACCATTTCTGCCATTCCTTTAAACTATAAATTTCAAGTAGAAATAACAGATTCAAAAGTAAGAGTACTATGTGTTCCTCCTACGGAGACACTGTGATGAATGAAACAAAGTGCAAAACTCATGAGGCACCACCCTGAATGAAAACTTGTCATTTATGCAAATGAATGCATTAGATGAGCCGGACACCAGGCTCCTCAATCACAACAAAAGTAAACTAAACCTTACATTATCTTTTCAATAAAGATTTAATTAGTTTTATACCTCTTCTGTGAGTTACTGAATTCTCATTTCATGTTCTTGGGTCAATCCTCCTTATCCCACACCTCTTCCAAGCCTTGTACTACTGGACCTAGAAGTGCTATGTATCACTGCTAACTCTTCTAAACCTTTATACAGGGCTTTTTTTCTAATGAGGCTGACATCACAAGATAGTATGCTGTAAAATTATAATAAAACTAATTATAATTATAATAATAATTGGTACTGATTTAATTGCATGCTAGTTATAATGTTGTGAACTGTTCAAAATGAGTTTCACTTTAATTAACCATTGTCCTGCACTCAAGTGTATCAATTGTTAATCCCTAAACTATAAGTTTTTTGTATGTGTGGATTATTACACGTGAATTTAGGGGAGGGTATGGTGGGTCCTACACATTACTGTCAAAACTAAGGAATGTGCCAGATTAACTAAAAGGCCAGTATTATTTAAAAATAACAGAAAACCCTTTACCTCGATTAGGGAGCTCTTTACCCTCTAGTTCTGGACTGCTCTGACTGCTTGCCTCATCAACAATAGGCCTACTCTCGATCTGAAAGGTATAAAAACAAATCGACTCGAAAAGCAAGGTAAGATACGTGTGTGCGTAGCACAAAATTCATCCACTCCTATTGACGATTTTCACATCTGCACGATCCTCACCACTACTGCTAATAAGTATCAAAATCGTCTGGAACGCATTTGTAGTCCGTGCTACGTTGTGCGTGCAAATCGCGTTGTCAAAATTGCGGCTCAGAAAGCATAGCAAACAACAAAAAAAGTACCAGTCGTTTATAAATATCCAACCGAAACGGGCTGGTTAAATTGACCCGATAAATATCACTGTCTGTAATCATGTCACCGGTATATTTCCTGGTACAAGTTACTCATTCGGTGAATCGGCATTGAGAATTACGGCATCAAGCACTGTTGACATAATAGCTAGGCTACACTCCGTCGTAAATATTTCCAAGCCATTCGTTGATTTTTGGACTATTTTACAATGTAACCGACGAGAAGTTAAATGAATTCTTTTAATGTTTAAGTGCACAACCCTGTTCACGAACAATGAAGGGAAAGAGTTGTAACTAACGTGCATCTGTAAACGACTTACTTCGAACTCCACAGCGCCATATTTGTTTCTCCTTGTGTACAAGTGCTATTTTAGGCAACGCACTCTGATTGGATAAAACGTTGCGGTAGACATCTTCTCTTTTTGGGGGGAGAAGACGTTCTCCAATTCAGACTCGAATTTGAAAAAATTAATTATTTTAATTGTAGTCTACCTCGAAGGCGAATTTTGCTTTAGATCGTGACCTACATACGTAAGAAAAAGTTTGGGATATGTTTCATTTTTTTATTTCCCCTTTAAATAGGCCAGGAGGTCAATCTTTTTAAACGACCGAGATATTTTCGAAACATTTATGTTGCATATCAATAGAAAAGCCTATTTTGACAGCTTGTTATTGCAAGTCATAACATTTATGTCATAGTTGCAAAAGAGATACTTCCATAACACGAATAATGGAATAGACGGTTTGTTAAAGATATTAATGTACACCTAGTGTGGAGCAAAATTAAAACCTCTCTGCCTAGTAGAGTTCTTTACCTAAAATGGAAAGACATATTATACATTCTTCCTACTGTGTACTAGCCACATCTATAAACTTGTGCCGTCAATCAAATCACACTTGGTCAGCTTTATGTCCTAGTTTAAAGGCAGGCAATGTGTTAATTGATAGACTTCGTTTGTCTTATACATGTAGTGCCTTAGACCCGCCATGAATCAACGTCCAAATATTGTCAGTTTTTAATCGTCCTGAAATCTGAAAAATCTCAAAACTAAATGGGTAAAACCAAAAACTTGCTTTATGCTTTCCGTCACAGGACCGGAGCTCTTGAAATAAAGTACATTATTTATAGAAGTTAATCTCACGGGTTTCTACGAGAACATCTGAAAATAACAGCTTCATTAAACTCCAACGAGATAAAATAAGCACTATCGTGTGAGTGAGTAATGTTACTCCACCCACCCCCCCCCCATCCCATTGCAAATACACGTGTCATTTTCAAAATCATGGTTTAGAATGAAACATCATATCGACCTTTACGCTTAATTTCCACATCCAACCAGAACTGAAACATGTTTGGAAACGATGTCCCATGAAGTAGTAATATACTATGAAGTCTCCTAAGGGTCCTTATTTTTTAACCAATGAAGTCGCCTTCCATCATGAAGTAGTAATTCTTATCCTATGAAGTGGTAATATACCGTGAAGTATCTTAACAGTTGTCATATGAAACCCAATATTACACATTCAACTCGAATAATTTCCTGATAGCAGAATTAACCAACTTTGCTTACCTTGTTGACTTAAAGCAGGACAATTAAGCTATGGTGTTGGGATCACAGGGTTACTCTCTCAACTACAGAAATATTTGACCTTCTGTTACATAAAATTAGTACCTTCCTTATGATACGAAAATGATGACGAAAAATAAATAAAACGAGCCTTAGCCTCAGCAAAAGAATAAATATTTATATAATGTTTATCATGTGCAGTGATAGGAGTCAGCTATCATATATAAGGAGGCACAACAGAGATCGAGACATGTGGTGATAAGTTATTCTTCTCCTCACCTTCATTTTAACAAATCAATCTGTAAGGCTAACTGATACATCTTAAAACGAGTAGTGGGAGTAATTTGATCCATTTTATGCATGTATTTTTACGCATCAACGATAAATGGAATGCGTTGTGCATTATTGAAATGTTAAGGAAGCGTGAGATTACACAGTTTTGTGTGATCCATCCATCAACGATAATAGCAGGCCTTAGCTATTGCCACCTTTAGGTCTCTCGAAAACTTATCATTCGGGGACATCAGAAGTAGGTTTACATTGCAGGCATATTTAGGTGTTTCAAGCAAAATAACCAAAACTAAAGGCTAAAATCGACCACAAAAACATCTCAGGAAAAACAAAAACAAAATATTCCCTTCCAAAAGCAAAATTTCCACCACAATCTAAACTTAAGCTAAATATTCGACTGAAACAGAATAAAATATCATGACAGTAGTCACTTTAGTAAAATTGAGGGAACAGTTCAAAATATTCGAATACTGAGCAGATTGGCCAACGGTGCAATGCTACTCATCGGCGAGGAATAAAATTTCAGGTCCAGTCACAATTGACTGTTACCTAGACCGGTTAATGAAACTACGAAATACATAAACATTTTTAGAATACCTTATTTGTGTATTAAGCCATCTTTAACGGGCGACAGTCGAGCGTGTTAGACGTGTGACTTTATCGACTTTATAGATTGTAAGAAATCACTCCAACATGCAATATGATATTTCACCCTCGACTTGTGAAGATTATTTTGTCTATATCTACATATATGCCATGATGAAGTACGTAAAATAAAATAGAGACAAAAGCCTAGCGTAGTTTTAAACTTACTGTACTTAATTTGTTTTTAAAAAATAGATTTCATTATGTCGATAAGTAAACAAGCTGGGTATACTCAGCATTTACTACATGGCTTATTCATATTTATTTGTCCTAATCGCTGCCTGGACATAAAAAATTACAACACAAACGTGATCAAATCAGTTTATCAAACAATGTTTAAAATCTACAGAAAGTTACATAGTTAACTTGCCGGCAAATTGTCACATTGCAGCACACCCCAATCAGCTGCAAGTCAAAACGAGTGATCTATTTTCAAGAAATTTTAGATTGGAGACAACAACATCACTGGCTGATTAGAAAAATTATCTACCTCCATATTGATGCCTGCGGGACCAGACATAAACTCTCAGCAGAGATGATGAAACATCTGTCCTGATATTTAATTTTTATCCCTAAGGCCATAACATTTAATGCAGGCAACAATTTGCTACACTGTTATTATTGTTAAAATTATAAGGATAGTGAGTTTAATTTATTTAATAAAAGCGGCCTTGTTTGGCCAAATCACGAACAACAGATAGTCTTTGTTGCCTTCTCTTTTGTTATGAACGGGACTATGCAAGTTTGTGGTGCACTGGGATGGAGGAGACATAAATACTGCAGTTATGACAGGGGAATATGGAAGGTATATCTGGTTCATGAAGGGATTGGTTTAAAACACTTCTTTCATGAAGTCAATAGGGATGGTACATGTATAAAATGCTGCAGATGGCCAAATAAAATAACAGCAATTTATAGAATCGAATCATTTTTTTTTTGAACGATCACTTTAAATTCTGCCTACTCTGGGTTATCGTATCATACCCTTTAACTAAATTAATATGATGTTGGTTTGGTAAATGTGCCACTTACATGTATAATATCTTTTTGCATGGTAATTTGTAGGCAAATGATAGTTCGTGGGAAGCGGGACTTTATAAAGGTAGGCCTACCTATTTTGCCCTGTTTCTATACAGCTGACCTTGATACGTCATATTTATAATAGTGTTCACAGGCCCGTAGCCAGCAAATTCAAAAGGGGGGTTCTTTTTCGGAAACTGTGGACCTGTTACAATGAAACTTGTGTGTACCTAGATAAAATTTTACCCCAAATGGACCTTTTCCTGAGAAAAGGGGCGGTTCTTTCGAACCCCCTGACCCCCCCTCCCCCTGGCTACGGGCCTGGTTCATAGCCTATAAAATAGTAATTCTTTGGGCAGATCTGTGGGTAAAATAAACGCACTTATATCTTAAATGTGAAATACTGGTGGAAAATAATTTATTTTTATTTACTAGTAATTATTCAATAGCGCACGAACACATTATTGAAAACGCCAGCCTGGCCATGGATTGAAAAAAAAACACTATGAACGCAACTCTAGAATAAGTTTGATGATAACTATAGAAAAATCAGAGTCTGTCCAAAGCTAGAAAATAAGTTGCAAAACTCTCTGAAACATAAATGTGCTATAAATCCACAATGTTTTGTAGTCAATAACTTTTTTCGATTCGTTTCAATAAAGTATTCGCTCTTGTGTGCACGCGGGAGTACGTGAGGAGAAGAGATCATATGATGAAGTGACCTTCTTGGTGTTTACTTTATGGGACGTCTCATTTACGATATGTTTAAGTCATTTTTGTTTATTTTGACGTAAATTTATAATCGATCCTTGTTTGTACAGAAAATACATGTATGACTTTGCCTTACAATGCACGTGATTATAGAATTCAAAATCAATTCAGCAAGGTATTATCTTGACATCGAAGTAGGCCGATAGCACTCGGTTTTACATCAAATGAAGGTCGTCATATGAAACCCAATATTACACATTCAACTCGAATAATTTCCTGATAGCAGAATTAAACAACTTTGCTTACCTTGTTGACTTAAAGCAGGACAATTAAGCTATGGTGTTGGGATCACAGGCTTACTCTCTCATCTACAGAAATATTTGACCTTCTGTTCCATAAAATTAGTACCTTCCTTATCAACGAAATTGATGACGAGAATAAATAAAACGAGCCCCAGCCTCAGCGAAAGAATAAATATTTATATAACGTTTATCATGTGCAGTGATAGGAGTCAGCTGTCATATATAAGGAGGCACAACAGAGATCGAGACATGTGGGGATAAGTTATTCTTCTCCTCACCTTCATTTTAACAAATTAATCTTTAAGGCTAACTGATACATTTTAAAACGAGATAGTGGGAGTAAATTGTTCCATTTTATGCATGTATTTTTACGCATCAACGATAAATGAAATACGCTGTACGTTAACGTAAACAAAGTGTGGGATTACTCACTTTTGTCTGAGTCATTCATCAACGATAAAAGTAGATCAGCCGTAGCTATTGCCACCTTTAGGTCTCTTGAAAAATTATCATTCGGTAACATCAGAAGCGGGTCTGTATTGCAGGCGCAATTAAGGTGTTTCATTTTGTAAGCATTACTATATTATGCTGTAAACTATTCCTTCAATGGTCCTCTAACCGTCCAGTCATCAGCAGATGATCTTTCACCGTTTTGTAAATCTGAATAAGCCATTTATGTAGCCAAATTTCCACAAACACAATGAAGCTCTGTTTTAGCTCAAAGGTAAATAAGATAAAATCCATATGACTGAAAATCGCATTTATTAATGACGAAAATAATAAGGTGCAGAGTTACACAAATGGGGGATAATCATACATCCCCATACTATAGTAAGAAATTATGTGAAACAGCAACAGCTATTGAAGCAAAAAATTGGCATAAATGAAAAATTAATGAAAGGACATAAGATCTGAGAAAAGGTCATATCCTCGTCAACCGAGGAGTGTTTGGCCAGTAAAACTAAATATTTTTATCTGAAGAATATGAAGTCACCAAGTAAAAAGATGAACGGCTGTCTTCAAATAAGAAAAACTACCAAAATTGAAGGCTGGTAAAATGTCCACAGAAAAACAACCAGCTATAGCGCCCTGAGTATTGAAAAGGGTTACCCAAATGGAAGATTTCACGGCAGTTCCATGGGACACGACAAACAGCCCAATGGCTTTATGAACGGGAAAGTCAGTCACGGTGGAGGTGAACACGGGTATATGTTCGGTGGACGGAAAAGAGTCCTATCGACTAGACTCAGTTTCTCCGAGTCGTTCGATAAAATCAAGCTTACCTGGCACAATTGCAATGTGTTTGTCCCGCCGCCTGAGCGGAAGTGGTTCCATTGCCTAAGAAACGGAGACGGGAGAGCCGAACCCGGTGCCAAGCAGATTCTGAGCAATGGTAAGAAAACATCTTTATTTTTTTCCTTATTATCTTTGGTTCTCTCTAAAAGTATGACCAAAATGAGAGATGGAATTGGGAGATGATCCAATTCCCTTGTGTTTTTCTTTTTTCCAATTTTCTTTAACATTATTTATGAAGCTCTTAACTAAAAGTCATGGTTTTTCTGCATGTTTATCTTTTTCCGTTTTTTAGTCAATATTTAGGGATCAAAATAGTTAGAACGTTTCAAGGATGGTATAAGTTGGGTTACTCTAGCCATTTATATACATAGCAATCTCAAATAAGTGGACTTCAGACAAAAGTTAACGATATATGATCATAACACAAATTCATTTCTCTCCTAATTTCGGAGCCACATAGACTGGCTTTCATTCAATTCCCTTGTAAATGATTAATTTCATTTGCTCCAAGGGTAAGAACAAAATGGGATGCTTAAGTTAAAACTGTCATGTCTTTTTTTGGCCAATAACTCAGGTATCAAAAATATTTGTCAAATAATTTTAGGGTGCTGTGAAGTGGTTGAAGTGGGTTACTGCAACTTTTAACCTACCAAAGAACACCAAACCAGAAATATGCAGATAAAACGCTATTTGGTCATAAAAATATTTTATATAAACAGTTTACAAATTCCTCATCTTTACACGAACTTGCATCATGTGGGCGTTCGAAAAGCGTTTAAAAACAAGGGTCAGGAGCACCAAAGACGGTCACATTCATTGACAGCCTCCCCAGCCAATCCAGCCCCAATCGCCACCTAACTTGATTGTTTTTGTATCAACAGCGGCGCCGGCAAAACTACCCTCTTGAACGTGCTCAATTCTCGTAACCGTGGTAACTTGATTGTTGACGGCGACATACGTGTCAATGACAAGTTGATAGGCAAAGGGATCACCAGTGTGTCTGCGTACGTCCAACAGGATGACGTATTCGTAGGGGGCGCTCAAGGTGAAGGAGCATCTGTGGTTTCAGGTTCGTATTCTTGCTCCCTCTAACTCCTCTTTCCTTTTCTGTGATCTGGTCTTTTTTCTTTCTTTTCTATATTGTTTTCTTTTATTTTTTCATTCTATTTTTCTGTTTTCTAAAGTATTGTTTTCTTTTCCCCCTATCTTTCCGTCTCTTTCTCTCTCTCTCTCTCTCTCTCTCTCTCTCTCTCCTTTCGGTACGGGTTCAGATTTATTACAGTTGATCAAGCATAGGACCGGCAGCCAACTGATAACACTGAGACTTACACTGTTCTCCATAGGCAATGCTCCGCATGGATCCAGAGATATCTTTTAAAGACAGGGAGAGAAGAATGAAAGAGGTGATGCATGAGGTGAGACAACAGTATTAGCACAATCAGCACAGTCAAACCTATCACAATCTAAACTGTAGCAATAAAAGAAAGATAATTATACAGGCATACATTTCTACCCGGAGTTTGATGCCTAGTGTCGAGCCAGTTATTTCCTCTTTATCCTTATGCACTGTAGATAATGAAGAGCATATCCAAACATTCTAATATATATTGTAATATATATTCAATTGGTCATTTATTTATCAGTGTTCGTTTTTTCCCTTCCAGATGAGTCTGACCAAGTGTCAGGACACCAGTATAGGTATACCAGGGAAGGTGAAAGGCATTTCTGGAGGCGAGATGAAGAGGCTGTCATTTGCCGCCGAGGTCAGTGAGATGTTATTTTTTCCTTTTAAACATCTCTCTCGGGGGTGATCGTCTTGTATATAAATTGTGATATTCAGAACTGAAAGATCTACACATGCAGTATATACAACGGGTGTATTTTTACCACAAGCAGACCTATGCATTATAGATTGTTCTCCTTCTTAATCTATTAACATTTGGTGAACGAAGTGAGTTTCCAAAAACTTTTGAAATCAGAGTAACCAAGTGCCCTATATAGCCATTTGCTCTAATTGCAGTTGCTGACCAACCCCCCTTTGATGTTTTGCGACGAGCCGACCTCGGGGCTGGACAGCTACATGGCCCAAAATGTGGTGGACACACTGAAGAGAATGGCAGCTACAGGGAAAACTGTCGTCTGCACCATCCACCAGCCGTCGTCCGAAGTGTTTGCCATGTTTGATAGGTGATGCTTCTTTGACTTGATCAGGCAGAAAACCTCAAATAATGTTAAGAAAAACGGCACCACTGCCATGCGTTCCTTTGAGACACAAAAACCAACATTTTAATCGTAATTGATTACTATGACGTTTTCCCTTTTAACAAAAAAACGTAATATTCAATGGTTAGATATGAAATGAACTTAAATGTTTATGTACATTATTGAAGAATATTGCTGATGGCCGAGGGCAGAGTGGCATACATGGGCCCAGCAAAGGACACATTAGAATACTTCAAGAGGCGAGTAACAGTTTTGATATCAGTCAGAGTGTTGTTAAAATTTATTTTTACGTGTACTACACGTACAATGTAGGCAGGATGTCATTTTCTTCCAAATCATACGATGCACGGTACAATATTTTTCAAGATTGAAAAGTGATTATTCTAATAGTCAGATGTGAAGTATTTTATTTTTAACCATTTAACGGAAAAGACTGGCGTTAGTATTTGGACACACGTAATGTTTTTATTCATTAACCTTTCCTTATTCATTTCTTATGCAAAAAAGAATTCACATTACAAACATTGTCAAAATACAAACAGGCAAGACTAGCTGACAGTACATGAATTGACTTGCTGTAACGCTTGTGTAATCTCTATGTTTTAATTATATTTTAACTCCGTGTGTAGCGGTGGCTTCACCTGTCCCGTAAACTATAACCCGGCTGACTTCTTCATCCACACCCTGGCTATTGTACCGGGAGAGGAGGCGGAGTGTCAGGATATCGTCAGGGTTGGTTTTTAAAATTTTCTTATTGATTTTATTCTCTCTTGTTTGAACCTTTAACATTGTGCTGTAGAATGGCATCGCATAAAGTTACCAGAAAAGTGACAATCTGATGGAATTGGTTTGATTGGACGGTCCATAAACTTGCATTCATTTCCAATGGCAGTATCAAAGCTGAACAGCAAAGCAGAATAAAGCAGAAAGTAAATTTGACTACCTTTCAATACCGTTGGTCCTCCAGTGAAAGCTACCTGATATGTATGATATATATGCAAGCTTTATTTAGTGTTGATATCTTTAATAAAAGTAAATAAGTAGACTGAAAATAAAGTCATGTGCTTTCAATACAAAGGCATCATTCTACTCTCCCTGTAAAATAAAATTAGTACAAATTTGGTCATACAGTTATATTCATACTTCTGTAAAGAAGTATATTTCATAACAAAGGATATATTCAGCAAAATTGTCCTTTTTCATCCCTTGGCGAATTTTCTTCAGTAGTGTAATCATGTGAGAAATGATCGCATGGCTCTTCGTGGTTATAACACAATTTCTGGTGAACATTTTCACAAGATTAACTATCGTAACAATAGCACAAGCCTTAAAAAGGCCTTTACCATTTAGGTGGCCAAATAATTTTACACAATTTTTACTTCACCAGAAATATAATCATAAGTATTACTTTAACGTACAGTTTATTTTTATTGCAACACGATTAGAGTAGAAATGTTATCAAAGACAGAATGATGACTTTGTTTTAGAATTGCTTACTTTAAGGCTTTGCGAACAGAAACCGTGGTTCAATTTTTGACAAACATGACTCGTGTTTTTTAATCTCTCGTGAGCAATTTTCATCTGGCATTGATCCAATGTCAATGAGACGATACCCTCTTCTCATTTCAACCGTTTGTGCAACCGTGCTTGTGGATTCGGGATCTAATTCCTGGAATGAAAATTTACATTTGGTATCACATGTTCGCATGATGTGCCCTAGTTGATTAAGACATACTGATCAAAATTAAAGAAAATGACAAGAGATATTTACTGCAACTAAAACAATTCCTCTCTCGTTCTTTCTTTCGTTCATTCTAAACCATTATTGTAAAATATCTTGAAAAATATCTCCAGTGGGCGTATAAGATTGAAAAATATTAATTACAACTGGACGTCTAACATAGATATATACCCCTACGTACAAAATGTCACCCCACCACGTTTACGTGTACTGCTACAAGGGCACCCATAGTTTTAACTTTTCTATAACATAAAAACTAGGAAACCGATCGTCGTGTACATTTGCGATGCGAGTAGTATAACATTAACCTACCCAGCATAAGCATTAAAATACTTCAACACAAATTAGTTTTAATACGAGGCTTCTAAGTGAGAGGGATACATTTTGTACCAAAGGGTTGACATAGGTAAGAGTTCTGACCCGCCGAATAGCCAAAAGGTTGAGTTGTTCCATGAGAACCAGTGTAGGGTTAGACATCATGACCAAACAGGAACATAGGCAAGATTTCCTGGGTAAGGCCGACCAAAGGAAACCACACCCAGAGAAGAGAGATTGCTAATACGCCTTACGCGTAGAAAACATTTCGTGATATTTAAAAACTTGAGTAAACTTTTACATGAACAAACCATTTTTCTGAATTTACCGTCAGAAGACGTTTGCACAATTGTCGTTTTGGCAGGGTTTCAGTTAGGAGACCAGCGATTACTGCCAGGAATCGTCTACGTCGAGTCAGATGGTATACCAGAATTCTGGCATAGACACCAGACAATAACTGGGCATTGATACTGTTCTCAGACGACAACAGGTTAAAGGTTATCAGGATTATGGACGCTTAATGATTTGGAGAACAGTTGGTACGAAGTATCTTTCAAAAGTTCTGCCTCTGGTCGACAGGACGCACCCCACATACGTCATGTACATTGGGTGTATTGGCTACTATGGTGAAGGCGAGCTCTCAGTGGTCACGGGAACCTTATTGCAGACCCATGCCACCAAATACTGGAAAGGAAACTAAAGAAATTATGTCGATTATATATTTGGTGGCCATGATCACCCATTTATGCATCAGTTTGATAACGCTACTCCACGTAAAACCCAACGCAACAATAGGCTTTTTATATGCCAGCCAGACCCTGACCCCGATAGCTCAATCCCTATATCAGAAAACTTTTCTCGGAAATGGATAACTGAGGCATAATTCTGCAAACAAAAATGTCCTCATACTGTCTTTGCACCGTGTGTGAAAAGCCCTCATTGCACAAAAGTTACAGAACTTTTTAACCAAACGCAC